AAGGGTGGGTCCGACTGCGCAGTACCGCATGTGGATGGTGTCATTAGGATGAGGTTATACAGCTGGTAAGACCGTGGAAGGAGAATAGATGTGGCGTGGAGCAATGTGGAGTGGTGTTTATCGAGTTTTGATATGAGGGCCACTGCCTTTAAATGTGATCAATATATTCGAAATGGGTTGGTTTAAGCGTGTAAAATAATTAACGAATGGTGGACAATACTGCATTTACCTTTACGTTCATAGGCAGTATAATTAGGTCAAGCATAGAACTCTGAACATATACAGAGGTCTATCGGTCAGGATAAGACTTAATCACGGCTTTAAGATTACCTCGATAAACGGTTCTGGTGACTGCTTAATGCTGAGCAATCGAACGATTCGACGTTGAAAAATAAACGTTAAGCATTCGTATATCGCACGGTGGTTTCGGCCGATTGACTTATCCTTGAATATTTTATATGCTTTAGTAGTTGCAATTGATTTGTCAATTGAGACACTTCAAAAAACTTCTGCCATTACTGAATATTTCTTTCACAGCAGGAGCCAAACACACGTACCTCCTGCTGTGATCGTAGTGAACATTCACCGAGCAACAGCGACAGCACTTCGATAGTAAACTTTACAACCCAATCAGTTATCTCGCCTCTTACTTCGCTCTGGCTGGCCAGGAAGTGGGATACAATTGTCCCGATGCTCTGTGCTCTCGCCCTATGTCATCAGATAATGCCGAGTTTATGTGGCTGGCTGCGGCTCGGCATCACACCACGGCTCTGCTGGAGATCAGGAGTGAGACGTGCGCGTGCGAGCCGGCTCGTTAATTAGAACGGCGGTTAGAGCCGATCTGTGACCCGTTTCCATTGTCGGGTGGAGGAGAGTGTTATTGGTATGTTTTAAAAGCTAGGTGTGCAATGTGCATGCACAGATGCATTTGAAGTATATGGAAAGACCAAAGTCAGATCTTGAACAACAGAGAAAAGCTTAGAATAAGATTGGTCATCTGTTGGCCAAGACGAAGATAGCTCATCTCTTCAGGTGACTTTTTGCATATCTAACACTGCAAAAGCGTTTGTGTCTCAACTACCTTGTTCAGAAGTTTGGTTCTTCGTCCACAAAACCTTCCATGCCTTTGCAGACACAGTTTGTTCAGGCGCTTTATGCCGGCCTTGCTGTGAGTTCTGTCTGTCAGCTCTTGTGATTGATCGGCTCAGAAATGACCGTCTCGCCCAGCAGACGACACACTTGAGATTGAGAATAATATCCAGGCAGGGAGAACCTCAGGCCATTGTTGCCACACCACCGTCACAACACCGTCTCATTTGTTATTGCCGCTCGGTGTTAAACTGCGGGTGTTTTTGTCAATCTAGAGAAAACGGCAGCGCTCGTTGAACGAAAGTGGCGTCAACTGATGCCACATTAGGTTGCTGTTTGTCTTTGAAGGTGTTTGAAAGGAAGTGCTGTTGAGCAGTTCAAGTTAGGTCTACCTTCTCTTCGCCATTCCATTGAATTTGCCGTCCCCAAATGGCATTTCCATATATTTCTAGTTTCTACTCTGTTTTGCGTCATCCGTGTAATTCGTGGATCTAATAGGTAGCGATCATTGCCATTCATAAGAATGTTGGGGAAGATTCGTATGATGATATATTTGGTGATCTCATTGGTGCTAATAAGTTAGGTACTCGTATCTATAGATCTCCATAAGAAATTAGAATTATACCTATTTTGACTACGTAATAGCGATTTATCAACAACGGAACGTCCCTTATATGATCATTAGGTACATGACAAGGAACTGACCTGGTGGAAAAGCGAAAGGATGCCAGGTGGATCTATACGATCCAGTCATAGCAGAAATGTGCCCCCCATTGTAGGCATAAAGTTCAACAATAAAGTTTCCATACGGATTAATTTTTTATCGCACACATGTGACCAATTCCTTTGATGTTCCATTTAATTGGTTTATTTTAATCTGACGTTTACTGGCCAGCCTATTAGCATACGTGCACCGCTGTGTGCGTTCATTCCGATGTAGCACATAACACGGCCTATCAAGCGGTGGACCGCAGACGCCCGGGTTCGATCTGTGTCGGTCGTATTACGCCGTGCCGCGGCCGAACTTTGACGGGGTACTTGGAGGGGTGATGATCTCGCTGCACCGAGCAGCCCACCTCTGTTCGATTCAGTCCAGGTGCACGTGCGTTAATTTGGAGCCTCGATAAATCAGCGTTATCGCAGTCTGGCCGGGTCGTATCAGAACCACAAGTGTCGAGCGCTTGCAGCGGATGATCGGGTTTCTCGATCGGAGCGACCGATAGGCCCTCCGGAGGCCCAGGCTTGACCCAAGATGTGTCACAAATGTCCGGGGTCGGTATATCTCAGCTGACGAAGACGATCTATGTATGTACAGAACGATAGCAGACCCGGGAACGAATAAAGGGCTATGGCGGAACCTCGTCCCTCTTCCCGTTCTGCGCTCTCTTCTCCGTCCATCATCACTCTCTCCCGGGTAATGTGCCATGCTTGAGCTGTCACTTTTTGGCCACGGCCAATCATGCTGGCATTTAGCTGACACTTTGTCATCAGCCGCAGATGCCTTCACGCACGTACCGCGCTGACGAGCTGGTTTCACCAGGCTTATTATCGCCGGCATTTAAAGAGCCCCTCACCGCCCTACCTCTTTGTAGCCCGGCATGTCTATCTCTCCAAATTGATGCGTGCAGCAGTGCCGAGCCTCTCAGAAAGTCATCTGAATGGAGTGGCTAACGGAGCCATGAAGGCGGCCAAATAAAGTCATCACTCTGAGATATGGCAGCGCTGGCCTGCAGCCGGACCACGCCATTCGCTGGTCAGCGGGCAGCAGAAGCCATTCGGGATGTGGAAAACGTTGATGAATGTCGTAATAAATCACTCAGCACCTGATCGTTACCTGCATGTGAAAATGGGAGACGGTAAGGAAGGCCAAAACAAACAAATATTTTGATAGTCGTGCACTATGAAGCCTGAACTGGGAACTAAACGCTTCATGAAAATAACTTTAATAGCTTTAATTAATCGATTGAAAGTGCTTTCGCCCCTTAGACCGCGGAGGGGAACAGAAACGCAGTTATGAAATTATGCCTAGAGAAGTGAAACTGTTAATTGCACCGTTTGTTTTCGGAAGCATAAATAATGGACACTCACGCTCGCTTTGACTTTTGGCAGCTTTTTATCTACAGAGCTCTCATCCTCTCACATTGTTGAAAGATAAGTGGACCGGACAACTGAGGGCTGTGTTGCGCTCATTAGCATGTGTTATATGGCTACCTAGCGATTCCCGTTTTAGGATCTTCTGGATCTAAATGGATCTTCTATCTATTGAAAAGCTTATATAGGCATTTAGTTAGGTGACTCAGCCCATTCCAACGCTGTTCAGTGTTTCTCACACGAATATATAATGCTCTCATTGCTTATGTCGGGGTGTGTGGTCCCGTTGGACTCTGCTGGGGCACAGCCGTCCCGTGGCGGCGTTCCCCTTTAATCACAGATAAATCACCTCCAAATCAGTGGACACTAAATCATAGTCACGGTCGGTCCCAGTAACGAATTGTGTCCGTTTTTACCGCCGGCACGCAGGGCGGCGGCGCTGGATAATGTGTACGTTTAGTTGGCCGCGCCAGGAGGGGTCCAGCGGCCCTTTTTTGCCCCGCGGCAGTTCGCCACTGATTTAGGGGACCGTCGATCGGCTTCGGTCCCCAGGCGGCTACTCAGCAGTAACGTTGCTCGAAACTTCTGTTCTAGGGAAGTCGGGAATAGTTGCAGCCGCTAGGAGTGCATGTGAGCTCACAATGGGGTGAGGGAGTAGCGTTAGCGAGCGCTCGGACGCTAGCATCTGTCGGCTAGTGCAGTGTCCGTGCTCTCAGTCATTTTTACACCGGGCTGACGCGGCTCAGACACAGTGCAGTGAATCAGCCGCGGGCCAGAGCGCCGTCTCAGTGCACCTAATTTATGGGGCTCTGCCGAGCTGTATTTTACAATAGACTGTTTTATTTGGCGAAGTAGATGTGAGAATGAGTTATGGACAGTTGCACCTGTCCAGCTAACCATGCCGTTGGTCTGTAACGTTTCGTTGTCCGGTGAGTTCATGTATTGCTTCACGAAAATGGCGATGGCGCTTCTCGGGCGCGAGGTGACTAAGATTTTATTAGCAACAGCAAAAGCTTACTAAACGATTACCTACTCATCACATTGACCTACTTCTTTGACTCGCGTCATGCCCTCTGTGTGTCTTTCATTGCCTGCCAATTTCGCTTGACGCTTAGATACTGAGGGACCTGCAAGCACAAACGTTTTTGTCCGTTTATTAATCAAACACCTGTGTTGTATTCGTCTCAACAAAACGCATCGTCGATGTTTTCCGATTAAAGGACAACTTAGAGCTTGTCACTTCGGCCGCGTTGCCGTTACCTGCAGCAACCAGTAATGGGGGCGGCAGGAAGGGGGCGGGAACTCACATATCTTCCCCCACTACGATACAGGTACTACGATAGATCCCCCCCCACTACCACCACGGCACGGACTATCTGTTGTACGGCATATTACAGAACTGTGTGGAGCTTGCGCGGAAGCTGGATGTAAAATAGCGTTATGAAGCTATTCTCGGTTCCACCCCAGGTCTCAATGCAGGCAGCTCTGACCGTGGGTCGGTCGCTAGTACAATTGTTAGTATAGATGTCGCTGACGCCCGGAGCACATTCGGGTAACACGGTTTTCAGCGCATATCGGTGCATGCCACTGGTCTATGCGAGATCTATGGCTATATGCGCATGTGCATATATACTTGCATACAGTATAGTACCCCTTCCTCACTCTTTCGTACTTCACTAAAACCTCTTTCCAAAAAGTCAACACAAGTTTAAAATCTGCCCGATATTGGGTACGGCGTAATCCTCTGCATACCGGTATACAGAAGCCTGAAGTTACGATAATGCCAAGTACAGGCCTTCCACGGCGCCTTACAAACGTTATGCCATTTACGTCGGTTTTTATTTACTATATTCAACGTACACGTAGCATCTCACACAAGATTACATAAAGGTCTCCAGATATCCACCACACACGTGAAACGTGCATGCCACACTCACTCCTCACATGATTCGATTATTCGACCTCCTAACGTTAGGCTGTCCGCATCTCCACCAAGAATTGTCACCATGGCAACAAATCAACAAACAAAAAGACTATCGCCTTTTCATTCTCTAACATCCCAGGCGTTTGCCTTTACGGTATTGTTCTACGCTCCGATTGCGTTCCTTTCCAAACAGATAATAAAACACCATATCTAGTGGTTCTGGCCTTTGAGAACTGTGCGTCCGCCATATACATACACATAGACACACTATTCACAACAGGATGTTCAGAGGCAGCACTCGTCCCGCTGTGTCGCACCCAGGATTACGAGCTAGACAGCTGCAACATAGGCCACGGGTAGACGGCAGATGTTCCTACGCCGATGGACACAACTCAGGCGGGTGCCTCCCACTCACACGACTAAACGGCTATAGGGCATGGAATGTTCCATCTGTCTGTATGTACATAGACGAGTACTTCTACTGGGATCGTAACATCGTGGATATATCACAAATGAGGACAAATCATATACGTTTCGAGGAATTTGTTTCAGTCCCAGTTCAGCGCTTGTATAATGCGCCGGGCGGTAGCGATTCCACCGCAGATCATGGGTGTTCAATTGCAGCTGCTCCGATGAGGGTTGGAGCTTTCGATGCGCGCACATGTGGCGGCACAGTGACGGAAGAAGTGGTCGTCCGTGTCATCTAGTTGTTCTTCTTCATGTTGGGGTTGGTCATGCGGTAGATAATGGAATCCTTACCCGGGTCCATGTAGGCGGTCATGACTGGAAACAAAGGGACGTAATGGCGTCACTATCGTCCAAAGAGATGGGTCAAATGCATAGAAAGCTAGTCGGAAGTAATGGGCTAAACTAGGGAAAAAATAAAAATAGGCGGGTATGATTAAGATAATTGTATAGAAACGCGATCGTTGTAAGTTAAACACTGGAAAAAACGTGATGAAACGGTGATAAGCACATTCAGTGAAGGCATTTAAACCAAAACTTAAAAAAAATACTGACAGACAATCGTAAGCAAAGCCACCAAACAAAATCCTGTTCAGTCATTCGCCCCACCCGCGCTAGCAACAGCCCTGTCACTGCGGTACAGCCGAGCGCATACTTACTGGAGAAGGCCACCAGAATGTAGACCAGGATGAGGGAGGTGATGAGCAGGATGTTGAAGATGACCGGGTAGTCGTCCGAGTAGACCCCGGCCAGGTTGAGGTCCACAGTGTCCGGCTCGACGGTCGGGTCAGCCATCAGTGAGCGGGCGCGCCGGCTCACCACCGGCTGGGTGAGCAGCAGCGTGAGCGCCCGGCCGTCGGTGGCCTGGCTGGCGGCCGCCGCGTATCGCTCCACGGCCTCCGTCAGCTGCCGCGCCGCCGCCGCGCCGGCACCCTCGGCCGCCGCGCCCGGCAGCGCGTGCAGCGAGAGCAGCACGGCGCGCCGGCCCGGCTGCTCCGTCAGCTGCGCCCCGGCGCCGTCCAGGAGAGAGAGCTCGCGCAGCAGCAGGCGCGCCGCCGGCTTCGACGCGTTCAGGGAGCCGGCAGACTGCGGCGCCTCGGCCGTGAAGTCCTCATCCTGAGGCAGGGGGCGGCGGGGTCAGTTACGGAGGTTCGTGAAGGCAGGACAGGTTATACGGATAAACAGAAAAACACGAGGGCACTGGGCTTATTTGGAGCAAAATGAAACCTCACCATCACAGATACGAAAAATGCAAAATATTTTAAAATGTTATTATTTTGGTAAGGGGCATCACACGGAGCTTTATTACGTGATGAAAGGTAGCGCGAAATCAAAAGACAAATCAGTACACAACCAGAAAAGGCATAGAAGCAGTTTCAGGCCACAGAACACCGCATCACTGCCACCAGTCGACTGAAAGCAAAATCCTGCAACAAACCTGTTCGGCTTCGAGCTTGATGGTGGGCAGCGTGTTGGGCTGGCCGGCCAGACGCACGTGCAGCTTGTGGAAGGCGGTGTCGGCGTCTGGGGAAGGTCCGTCCAGTTTGAAGTGTTTCCACTGGTCGGAGCCCGGCAGCGGCTCGGGATCCGAGACAGCCACCGTGACCAGGGAGACCAGCTGAGGGTACCGGAACGGAGAGAGCACGCGCGCGCCCGCCCAGCTCCCCTGTGAAGACAGAGCGGTGTGAGGTTAGAGCCGAGGTGTCAGGTGGGACGGGCAGAGCCTGAACAAAAGCGGTAGACAAGAACCGGCTGATAGCTAGGATGACTTATCTACTGACACGCCTCTTCACACTGTTGTAGAGATCTATGGACTGACATTTATCTTATCTGAGTGGTGCATTAGATACGAACAATAAAAATCCAATTGTCAGAGCAATCCCTTCTAAGCATCGTTGGTGAGAATGAGGCATCGTTACCAGAATGAACTATTAGCACCGCGCGTTTACCGACCTTTGGCGAGGTGACTCCAGAGACGGTGTCGAGGATGTTCTCCAGCTCACTGGACTTGACCTCCTTGACTGTGTCTGAGAAGGCGATCCCGCCCTCCGGAGAGTTCACAACAAATAGGTCATCACAGTCTGAAACAGAGACAAAGATGTATTAATGACCATGACATGTTATGTTGAAATAAGTATTTATCACAAACCAAACAAAAAATCAAGATCACATTCAACAAATCAAGTGAAGAAAGTGTACTTTTAAGGGTTTGTAGTTCCTTGCACTTTCATTCTCAGTACCTATGTCTTTGACAAGGTTGTGACACCTTGTCATCTTTGGCAACTAGGTAGCACTTGGCAGCAAGAACATTAGTACTTACTTATCACTGATGCCAGCAGACCTAGCACCACACACTGGGTTAAATGTTTCATGTTGATTTGATGTTCACCTGTGAACAGCAAGAAAAACCTAGTTAACATCCACCTAAAACATTGGAGCATGCCATTGCCACAAATGTCAGTGAAACCAACAATTGCAAAGCAATGTGTGTGTCACCCTGCAAATGTCAGGTTCATTTTGCATTGAACTTTTCTACATACACCCTGCAACTTTCAGGACCTGGTCAGTCCAATTAGGCACCATTGCAGTGAAGCATCATACATGTCATTCTCAGCCAAAATATAGGTATGAAAACTTTGCCTAATCTACAGGATGTCTGATGCTTAATCATTAATGGTTAGCCACCAGAGACTTTTCTTATCCAAGCAGCCGAAGGTCAAAGGAGCTGTTGACTAGAGGATGACTAGAGGTCATTAGTTGAATCTGATGTCATAAAGTTGATTACCATAAAGTTGATTACCATCAACTTGGGTTTCTGCCGACCAAACCAGAAAAAAAGTTTTTTTTTGCTGAATTCCTATTAACGAAATCTGTTTATATGTCAACATGAAACTCTGATACAATTGGGAAACAGATTCAGCGATACTGGCAGGTGGCAGCTAATAAATGTGAGGATGATTCAGACAATGTTTGGCATTAGGCTTGAAGAATGTTGCAAGATGCAGTTTACCTCATCACACATGAGTGCCTGGTGAGGCAAATAGTGCAAGTAGACTTAGAGACCCACCTGCTTAAATTGACACAATTTTTTTTTCAAACTCGCATTGCCTCTCCTGAATTCCTGACAAGTTGTATAGAACATTTAAAAAAGGTACAGTCACTCAATTTTTCTCAAGTCTGCCTATCTTGGCAGATAAAGTAATGCCAGAACAAGCCTACAAACACACATATTTGATTGGAATTGGATGATTGGACACTTAAAAAGGCATCTTTCATGGTTCCCTCCCATAAATTTATAAGAGAACAGATCAATATGTGCTTTGAAAAAATGTCAATTTTTGTTACATGTGTGTCATCCTTTCATTTGGCATATATTACAGTACCTAGATAAATAATACTTTTTGGACTTTATTTTACTATCATTTCATTGTATCATGAGCATAAGATCATTTTCTAACATCATTCATAAAATTGAGGTTACCATTATTTAATTATGTTTGAAGTTTGTTTTGTTAACTTTAATTTACTTGGATGTATGCAGACGATGCATTGGAAGGTGCAAACGTGAGGTTGAAACTTGAAAGCATTAAGCAGGTGGTTCGGTTGCATTGTTCAATGTTGATTGTTAGTAAATGATTGGTAGATACAGAAGGCAAAAATGTTTAGAATAAAATGTGTTGGATAAATGCATACTAGTCCATCTCTCCCATGAAAAATCACCTGGTATATCTATTAGATAAATGCTGGGCCCCTGGCTTACATTTGTCAGCAAACCAACGTCAACATTAATAAGGGATACATGAGCAGGGTTAATGCATCATATTAACTATTAACAGATAACATGAATAGGAAAATCTGTTCCTGACACACATTTACTTGCTCATGCAGGGGCGTCGTTTTGTATAGGCCTGGTAGGGCCCGAGCCCTAGCAATGTTTATTTGGGCCCTACCAATGTTCGCTGAGCCCTACCAATCTTTTGTCACTTATCAGTTGATAAAAATATCAAAATAAACAAATAAGCAAATAAGCACATAACATATGCATATTGCACATATAAAAGGTTCTCGCCACAGTAGGTGCATGTAGCCGACAATAACCGTGTTTACATAGGGTTCCCTTAATCTTCCCCTATTTGTCTCTTAAATGTCCCTTATAAAGGAATCCTCTGTCTCCTTTACCTCGCTTCACTACAAATATGGCGCAACTAAGTCATTCTAGAAGCAGTTTGCAATTGTTACTTACCTTTAGGGCTCTCCCAAATAGCTTCCAGACTGAGACTAGACACTGAGGTAAAAGTGATAGCACATGAAAGCTCAAAGCAAGAAAAATCAGAAAACTATCTAGCATTTAACATACTTTAAACGGCTGAGCTATTATTCCAGTAGGTGTAATCACATCCACGGCAATATCAGAACACCGCACCTGTCAAATTTCCGCCTTGACTTTCTGCCGTTTATGCGTTGGCGCACGTGCGCTTGTCGAGTCGGGGACCACCAGTCGGACGATTCGGAACTGCCGGCCAATCAGCACGCCGCTTTTGTGATGTGATAGTTTGAGAACCACTGGATATGGTAGCGTAGCAGCTTTTGGAAAGGCGCTACGCTACCAAATCCTCCCCTATTTGTCGCTTAAAGAGGGAATTGAAGGGCAGGATAAAATTACTTCAAAATATGAATTGTTGAATTTCGAGTATTAAATAAGCCCAATTTATATTGTTTACAGCATAAACGATGCTTAGTATGCTTCTAACAACAATAGCGTCCATAGCAACGTTACACGCGAGCGCTATGATGCCTAAAATTCGATCTGAAAATAGGGGAGAAATAGGGGAAGATTAAGGGAACCCTATGTAAACACGACTAATGAGGTGTCGTGTCTTGGACTTTGGTCCTTGGTGGATTCTAAGAGTCTCGAAAGACCAGTTGGTTATAGAGGTCCATAACTGCCTCTGAGTGCCGCACACCATGCGACCGCCCCAAATAGACCCCGATCCGTCTCCACACCAGCCGCTGGAGGCCCTACACCGACTTCGGAAGGTGCCACGATGCTCCAGAATAGGCCATAGGTATACTCGTATTGATTTGAGTGGGTGATGCAGCCTGATTCCCGAGGGTCCAACGCCAAGCCATTACCGCATCAGATCACGAAAACTCAAGCAAATAATCTACGAGGGGCGTTCAAAAAGTTCCGAGCCGAACCATGAAGGAGTTGAAATTTCGGCGTGCAAGGCGGTGTGTTAAATGATGTGTTATTGGGATGTCCACTTACGTAGCCATTAAGTCTGCCCTGCGATTTATTCGGGCTGCTAATTAATCGCAACATAGTTCGACATCGCGGATAGGATGGGTGACGCCCAGAGGAGAGCAGTGATTCGGTTCATAGTAGGTACTGCAGAAAGGGCACCAAGCGTTATTCACGAAAAGTTGGTAACAACTGACAACACATGTCGAGGTTTGTCTTCCTTACAGCAGCGTCAAATAGTGGGCATCGTGCCCAATTTTGGTCAACAGATCATTGAAGGTGACCCCCTAGTGGCCAGTCATCAACAGCATTGACTCAAGCATTGATAACATGAATCTATCATGTTATCTATGACTCAAGAAAAGATGAAAAATGAGCACTTTTTGTTGCAAATTACAAATGTATCTTGTCTGGAAGCACGCAGTGCAGAAGCGGAGGTAACTATCGGGTTCCTCAAAGCAATTCATGAGCGTCTTAGTATGTTTAAGATCTTTGCAAGATGTATCTCCCGTTTGCTGACTCTACAGAGAAAAGGCAAGCTCGAAAGGAGGCTTAGCGTCAGTTTTTGGCCGCTTTATCGAAGATCTAGAAGCAGTAACGGCGGAACACCTTCAATTAAGAGGGGAACAGCTGACTTTTGGTCCCATTCTTTCCATGCAACGCCCATAGGGCTAATGTTAAAATGCCAAAATCAAAATCACGGTGCCCCGGTGCCCTCCCCGTTCCGCCGCCTATGTCTAGAAGATGTCATTGAACAGCCTGTTACCGTAAAGGAATTGTGGGCGTCACACGTTGACCCTAAGAGCGTGACCGAGTTGCACAAGTGGAAGCACACCGAGTAGCGGCCACCAAATGAATACAACGAGGTGAAATCAGTCGGGGAAGGTGATAAAGTGGTTGCATTTTGGGATGATGACAGGGCTCTGCTTGTCACTTTTCTTTTCTATAACAGGGGCGCACAATTGATGCTGTGCGTCCATTCGATAGACATCGAGGAGAGGCAATAGGGAAGCTGACATAGAGTGCACCTGATCCACGACCACGCACCAGCGTACATACATAAGCGGGGTGACGATCAGTGAAGCGGTGAGCTGTGGCTTCGAGTTGTTGCTTGTTGCATCCACTTTTGTCTCCGAACCTTGCCCCCTCTGGTTGCCACCTCTTCCCCAACATAAGGAAATTAGCGGTGGCAACTTCACTGACAGCAGGGAGACGAAAGCAGCCGTCTTGTACGTGCAGGATGGGTCCAAAACCCACTTGATTATGGAGACCTTGAGGACTCTCGCGAAACCCTGCGCGAAGTGTGCTTGCCTTAACGCTGGTTATTTGGGTAAATGAACTTTTTGGACTAATAAGTCGATGCTGTATCTCTCTGCTCCTTCATGGCCGGGCCCGTAACTTCTGAACGCCCCTCGTACTGTCTTTCTTTTATTTTGGCAAGCAGGTCTTTCTAACTATCGTGATGTTTCGAGACCTCGTTAGTTCTCGAACCCTTCAATTGGCGTGGGTCTTCGAAGCCATCCCGGCCCCGCAGCCGTCTTTTTTAGTCAGCTTGGGCCCTCAAAGCCGTTCCTGGCCCCTTTCAGCACAGCCGTCCTTTTAAGTCGGCGTGAGCCTCTTTCAGAATGGCGTGCATTCCTCAGACACTATTGCCTATACATATAACTGCACATTTTGTGCATGGAGCTCGGTGAGGACCTAGACTTCCAGTTTTTTTTTTAGATTTTGGTTTGTCTTGTCAATGGCCAGGGCGAGAAAATAAGTGGCCGAAATCCGATGAGAAAAGCAGATTTGGGGGTGCCCTACCTTGTAAACCTCGTCACATAAGGCCGGCCGCCGCCTTTGGGCCCTACCAATCATTTTCGGAAAACGACACCCCTGTGCTCATGTATTCGGAGACACTGTCATGAAAATTCAATTGGAAAAACTCTGCAAAGTAGGAAGAATACCGATCATTTCATAACATCATCCATAGAAGGAAAAGGAACGCGAAATATTAATAAATGAACAGGGGCAGGGCCTAACTCGAAATTAGTACGTTGTCTGAGAAGTGAAAGAAGTGGAACAACTCCCTAATTTCGAGTCCTTACCTACCTTTTCCAAAAATCCAAAATCGAACGGGCGATGTCCAATGGGAAATTTTGTTCGATCGATTACGCCATTACTTGGCGCAGCCACGCCGTATTTGTCGTCAAATTTATCGATATTCGATGGGAAACGTGCAACCAGCTTCCACTAATGCAAAAATACTACGGAAATATGGGTTATTCTACGACCGAATATTTTGCTAGTAAGAGAGAAAAATTATTAATTCATAATCTACTATATTTTTTAACAAAGTAATATAATAAAGCAAAGTATCATTTGCTACTGAACACTGGCAGCTCTATAATCGATACGGGTCAGCTGACCAGCCATCTAGCGGTCAGTACGCGAACCGATATCACATGACTGGAGCATCTCGAATGTCACGAGAAGCCCTAGCTTGTGGTTAGTCCCGCTGCTCTCCATGCAGGTGGCAGCACATGTGTTGACCAGCTTCAAGGGTGGCAGCATTTGTCAAAATGCAGACAAGGACAAGGACAAGAGTGGGGCACACGGCCCACGGGCCCGGCCCGTATATACATTATACATACACTTGCTTGTGAGGGCTGACGCAGATCTATGTGGATCCCATCCAGGCTCCTGAGGCTCCACACTGTTTGTTAGACCCCACGCCGGCTCCTTGATGCACCATATGACCGCAACTGGAGTCCTCTCGCTGGCCTCAAAGACCCCACGACGGCCTTTGAGGTCTGAGGGCCCGCAAGCAGGCTCCAGGGGGCGGACCTGACCTCCGGCCCACACTGGCTGCTGAACGTCCCCACTACGGCCTCTGACTTCTGAGGACCCTCACGAATCACGATGGCCTCTGAGGAACCCACCTAGGCCCATAAGGGCCCTACACAGGTTCTTGCCTCTTGGGCACCCACACCGGCTCCTCGAGATATCATAACTGCTTCTTGGATCCTCGCCGGTCTTTTGGGGCATAATGCAGGAACTTGGAAGCCATTACCGGCTCTACCAGCTCACAACCCGGCTCTTGAAGGCACTATATGTATACGTGGACTCCTACGGACTCCTCATGTCTCATGGGACCCCACATGGCCTCCGGAGAGCCCACAAAAGCTTATACGTAGCCTCTACGTGGCATTTGGCTCAAATTTCAAAAGGCCGATCCACGAACCCCAACATTAGCTCCTGGGCCTCCGCAATTAACACGGAGCTGGCTGAGTCGCTGGAAAGGACTGAAATCAACGGCCAGCTTATGCGTTGTCCGTTGAGCGGAAAAGTTGATATTCGGGAAACAAAGCAGCCTATAAGTTATGTCATGAAATCTGATGAATCTGAACAATGAATGTCTTCGCACCGCATGCATTCTTCGTTAATACATTTGGTCGTTAGCACTTCGATACCCCGTACATACCTACATACATCCTACGAAAATTGCTGTTACCTTTTCGCCATCCCCCCCCCCCGGCCCGAGTTTTCTCAGTTCACAAGGAATCGTTCATTTTTATGCGCAATGTTTCAGTTTGTTATGATCGATAATATACCGACTGGGGAGGCTATATGTATATTTTAGGTTGTGTAACATCGTGAGTGTGTATTTTACCCTGCATGTTATGATCCGATTTTATTGACGTGAAGGCCATAATAGCCACTTGTCTCGTGGATGGCTTTTTAATAAACCACTACTACCTACTACTACTACCGAACCCCAATAACAAAACGCGGACAAATTTTTGCAGTTTCATCTCGAAAGCTCCGACCTGAACGATTTGCTGTGGTCCGATTAAGTATTCAATTCTTAAGAACTAATAAAGCTAAACAATACGACAAAATATGCTTATGTATTTTTAAGGTCTTGTGCTAAAAAACTTTTAAGATTCGGCAATAAATTAGGCCAACGACCCGGTATCCAAAAGACGAAAACCGTAAAAAGACGCGTTTTGTGTATATTTTTCCAGCTCTAACTTGGGTAATCATGGTATAACGATAATATAATCTTCATATCCCACATTAACACGGCTCTTTTCTTTTATTTTGCCTTCGAAAAAGACACCCGGTGCGTAGAATCCCGCAATGCTTATGCGCCACGTCAAACAGGTCGCGCTCTGTATGACATATGGCCCTGGACAATAACCAGCCGAGTTTGTCCAACAGTTTGGAACCGCTCATCATAACGCTAGAAAGCGTCGTGGCGCTAACTGCACGCTCGGTGGTCTGCG